TCCAATTCTCTACACTTTATAGTGTTGGCATCAATGATCCCGAAGGACCAGAAAATATAACAACACTGAAGTGAAGTACGGGGCAACTTTTTACGGCTGCCACACGGCACTTGACACCTAAGCTTAAGCCTAAGCTTGACACTTAAGCCTTGCCGTTTTGTTTTGTTTGTTTGGTTTTGTTTTCTTGTATCTTTTTTATTTTATTTTTTTTCTTTGAGGTGCCTTTTGTTGATTCTGTTGTTTTGTTGGGGCTTTTTTGTTGTTTTTTGCGTGGTACCAGTAGGTGAAATTGTAATATTGAGTACATTTGATTGACAACCGTCCAGTTAGCTATGTAGTTAGCGCGTCGGACTATGAATCGGGCGACGTGGGTTCGATTCCCGGAATGTGCAGGTCACTTTATAGATACAATATTACCAATACAACTATTCTGCCTATATATTATTAAACAAATCTTCAACAGTTGCAAAAATACCTCTAGCATACATCTTTTTAAATGAAGTAAATAATATATAACATTGATAAGAATAAAACAATAGGTTTTATGATGGCCGTCAATTTCTAACTTTAAATATGTCTTCACATTAAGTAATAACTATGAAACTGACTATCTCTGTACTCCAATGCTTTGTTTATACATTATTTGCTTTATAAGTAAAAAAGCTTTTTAAGGTCTGACTACTAGTACTTTCTACTCTGCTGGGCAAAACTGATCGAAAGACGGCCAGTATGTGGAAGATATTTAGCCTGGGCAAAACTGATCGAAAGGCGGGCGGTCTATGGAAAATATTAAGCCTGGGCAAAACTGATCGAAAGGCGGACGATCTATTGAAGATATTTAGCCTGAGCAAAACTGATCGAAAGGCGGACGGTCTATGGAAGAAATTTAGCCTGGGAAAAACTGATCGAAAGGCGGACGATCTATGGAAGATATTTAGCCTGGGAAAAACTGATCGAAAGGCGGACGATCTATTGAAGATATTTAGCTTTGGCTAAACTGATCGAAAGGCGGACGATCTATGGAAGATACTTAGCTTTGGCTAAACTGATCGAAAGGCGGACGATCTATGGAAGATATTTAGCCTGGGCAAAACTGATCGAAAGGCGGACAGTCTGTGGAAGATACTTAGCTTTGGCTAAACTGATCGAAAGGCGGACGATCTATGGAAGATATTTAGCCTGGGCAAAACTGATCGAAAGGCGGACAGTCTGTGGAAGATATTTAGGCTGAGCAAAACTGATCGAAAGGCGGACGATCTATGGAAGATATTTAGCCTTGGCTAAACTGATCGAAAGGCGGACGGTCTGTCGAAGATATTTAGCCTGGGCAAAACTGATCGAAAGGCGGACGATCTATGAAAGATATTTAGCCTAGGCAAAACTGATCGAAAGGCGGACGATCTGTGGAAGATATTTAGCCTGGGCTAAACTGATCGAAAGGCGGACGATCTATGGAAGATATTTAGCCTTGGCTAAACTGATCGAAAGGCGGACGATCTATTGAAGATATTTAGCCTGGGCAAAACTGATCAGAAGGCGGACGGACTGTCTATGGAAGATATTTAGCCTGGACAAAACTGATCGAAAGGCGGACAGTCTGTGGAAGATATTTAGCCTGAGCAAAACTGATCGAAAGGCGAACGATCTATGGAAGATATTTAGCCTTGCCTAACTGATTGAAAGGCGGACGGTCTATGGAAGATATTTAGCCTTGACTAACTTGATCGAAAGGCTCATTGGAAGATATTGAGCGTGATAAGGATAAGCAGTGACGCCATTTGGATATGTTTAATTTGGCATAACCACAATGTCGAGATTACAAATCTCGCGCTTTAACCAATCGAGCTATGCGAGTTGCTACAAATTAAGCGCATTTATTGTACATGCATTAATTTCACATCTTATAAAGCATAACCAATGAACTTTAAGCACTGTTAAGCGTTTTATCAATTGGTCTTCCAATATAACATATGACTCAATCTTATCACTTTTGCCGCCTTTTTTATCTTCATGTTTTTGCCAGTCAAAAAAAATTCTCCATCTTGGATAGAGTCAAATAAACTCATATCAAATCCTAATTTGCGCTCTAAATTGCGCTCTAAATAACAAAATTCTAACAAAATGTCAAACGTCTGGTGGTATGGTGTAATTATATATCGTTTAGTACAATAATGATTCTATCTTAGACTCGTACACAACCGCAAAACCTATCCGTCTCTACAAATTAGGTTTGTAAGCTGCGTATTGTGTAGAAAGTAGTGAATGAAAAGATAATTGTAAAACTTTATTTCTTCATATAAATATACAAAATATGCAACAGCTTTTTAAAACAATTGCCAACAAAACTTAACTAAGATAGATATTAATATATACTTTATCAATCATAATACTTTGAAATGGAAGAATATGAACCAACATATCACGAATAAACAAACAATATTACAAACAATTGATGCTAAATATAACTGTGATAAGTAAATCATTTAAATGTATTTACATGCAATGATTTGAACCAATAAAAACTAAAATAATTATAAAACTTCCTATTGATTGTTAAATCTATGAACAATCCATTGCCTTCTTGTGCCATTGTTACAAACAATGATAGTATCATAAAGGCTATTTCATATTGTCCTATTTAAACAATTGAATGTTGAGAAATCGATGTGGCGAGCATAAAAAAGTCAGAGTAAGGAAGTATCGTGGAGAATTTACATAATTGTCAAACTTATATTTTTGTCAACGGAGAAGTATTAAAGTTCTATCTGGGTTAGCTTTTAGCATGTAGTTGAAATACGCAATAAATCAACTATGTCTGTTACTTTTTTGATACCTCTGTCAAAGTTTAGCATTTCTTTTTCTTCTTTTTTAATTTTTAAATAGTTTTCCAATAGTGAAAACTGTCAAAAATCTATATTTTAGCAAGTTACAAATGAGCTACTTCATTGTGTAAACTTACTTTAGTGCACCATAAAACAATAAGAGTGAAATGTCAAATATATTTCTAAAACTAATTATGTTTTCAAATACTTTTGAAGCAATAATCTATGAATAAAGAATCAATTGATTTTCTACATTACACGTCTATTTGGTGGCGAATCGATTCATTTCAGATTTCCACTGTTACAATGTAGACGTTTATGAATATTGAAGCCCAAGTTTTGCGTTGCAAGTACTTTTACTGCCCGTTGTTGCTCTTTTCATTGTTCTCTAAGTATTGATTTTGCTCTTTACTACAGATGGATTCAAAATTTCAGACACTACATGAGCATTAAAATATTTCATTGAATCAAGCATTGGTACACCACTTTAAAAAAGTACTAGGAAAAAGTTGTATGATGAATGTAAAACATGTCTAATTTTACATGTACCCATATCACCAAAGCGCTATGATATTTAAAATAATGGAAACGTAAATATCCGGTTTTCATTTATTTAAACTGTTTAATAAATTCATGTACATGCTAATATCTATATACATTTTTGGCATTACTTTCCTCCAAACATCTTTAAGTGAGTATGCACTATGGTACGATTGAAAAGAAGACATAGATATATATGAAAAGATAAAGGTTTAGAAATATTGGATTTTGCCATTTTTTTCGCACTAGTAATTTGGTTGTGGCGGGAGAAATGCAGGATCGCTGGTTCCTGCTTAATCACCGGATGGCGGAGACGGGTCAAAAGTCGGTGGACGGCTGAAATGTATTGATGGTGCACAAAACTTTACTTGTTGTTCATACGTTGGTGGTGGCGGGGGCTTTGCAGGATCGCTGGTTCCCGCTCTATCACCGGATGGTGGCGGCCGGACAACAATCGGTTGCTTTTCGAAAGACATTGATGGTGGATCAAAATTAACTTGTTGATCATACATTGGTGGTGGTGGCGGGGGAAATGCAGATTCGCTGGTTCCAGATTGTTGATGCGCGAGAGGTTGTTGGCCATACATTTGTGGTTGACCATACATTGGCTGTTGTCCATACATTGGTTGACCATAACCAGGTTGGCTGTATCCGGGAGGACCTTGCTGTCCAGTTGTTATGACTGCTACACCTGCATGTATGATAATTTTATATTAAAGCTTTACATAAACTTTTCATCTTAGTTTTTCATCTGTGTTAATTTGTGTAATATGTTTATACTCTTGATATATAAATAACTTACATTTGATACACAACATTTTATTTCAAATCGAAATAATTCAAACATAATTCGTATATATGATAGCACAAAGTATTGATATATTTTACCATTGTTTACAATTGATACGGTTCAAACGTTTCACATAAAGACTGGCACATCAAAAGAAATTTTAAAGCTAAATCTATTTATCAAATGATATTTAAATCTACTTCTAACACTTATTTATCGAATGATATTAAAAACGGGATTTACTACTTTTCAAAAAGTGCATGAATTCATACATATACATAAAATATATTCAGCTTAACCCGTTTGTAATCCATTCAGCAAAGAACCCTTCTAACCCAACGGAGACACTTTTAACGCAACGGAGAGACAATATTAACGACAAGGAAAGACCCTTCTAACGCAAACATTGTTTCAAAATCGTTTATCATAGAAATGTTCTGAGATATCATTTTCAAAACTTGCTAGTATTGTTAAAACTTGAAGTTAGGCTATTCCTTCACATTATTCAATAACATAATTCAATGTGAAGAATGACGTGCCCTACACGTGGAAAATCTAAGAATTCAACTATCTGTTCGAAGAAAGTGATGTGATATAATCAGATGTTTTTATTGTTGAATGTTAGCCACAATGAAAACATCTTTGAAACATAAAATTATTTGCATGATTATAATCTCGAAATTGCACATAAGCCATAAGACGGACCATCCAAAATCTGAGAATTAGACCATCATTTCCACTAGTTTTGCAGTGCAACTATTGCTTTCAGATGTAAGAACTTTGTTTAGAAGCATACTAGTGCTGCAAATTCATAGGGTAAAATGACACCGAAGTGGTCTATGTCAGCCAACAGCAAGTTTTATATACCAAATTGTTTGTCTTGGTCTGTAGTTTCCGGAACGAATATTCAATTGGTTCAAGTCCGATGCGTAGCTTAAAAATCCAAGATGGCATCAAAGATGGCCGCCAAATCCCTAAATATTCTAGAATATCAATTTTTGCTCATATTTGTTTCCGCTTTTGTATTTCAAGTATTTTTTTTTGCACGGAAGATATCATTTAAAGCGTTTTATACGAAGAGATTTAATTTTATTGGACAAAACAGATTGCTTTTTGCTTTTTTTTTCGTAAATAAGCAAAACTAGACCTATCACTGAAGGTGATTAATACCCCAACCAGCAACGTTTTGAAAAATAAGTAGTCTGAAGAAAAATTTCAACACAAACTATCAACTGTGTACAAAGAAATATTTCAATTAATTGTAATCCCACCTGGGGTCTCCAAATAAGCTTGCTTTTCACAAAGTTTGATTACAATATCTCATTCCTAACTCTAGTTATTGTCCGGAAACCATTTTTCTATTTTTAGGAATGATGACCTTGACCTTGACCCCAGGGGGGTCCAAATGCAATACCAACCCAGGTCTTTATATAAGCTTGCTATACACCAAGGTTGATAACAATATCTCATTCCTAACTCTAGTTATTGTCCGGAAACCATTTTTCTATTTTTAGTAACGGTGACCTTGACCTTGACCCCAGGGGGTCCAAAAACAATACCAACCCAGGTCTTCATATAAGCTTGCTATACACCAAGTTTGATTACAATATCTCATTCCTAACTCACGTTATTGTCCGGAAACCATTTTTCTATTTTTAGTAACCATGACCTTGACCCCAGGGGGCCTAAATGCAATACCAACCCAGGTCTTCATATAAGCTTGCTATACGCAAAGTTTGATAACAATATCTCATTCCTAACTCTAGTTATTGTCCGGAAACCATTTTTCTATTTTTAGTAACGGTGACCTTGACCTTGACCCCAGGGGGTCCAAATGCAATACCAACCGGAGTTTCCACATAAGGTTGCTATATACCAAGTTTGATTACAATACCTCATTCCAAACTCTAGTTATCGTCCGGAAACCATGATGTGGACCGACCGACGGACCGACCGACAAGCTGACTCCTATAAAAACAATACCAACCCAGGTCTTCATATAAGCTTGCTATACACCAAGTTTGATTACAATATCTCATTCCTAACTCACGTTATTGTCCGGAAACCATTTTTCTATTTTTAGTAACCATGACCTTGACCTTGACCCCAGGGGGCCTAAATGCAATACCAACCCAGGTCTTCATATAAGCTTGCTATACGCAAAGTTTGATAACAATATCTCATTCCTAACTCTAGTTATTGTCCGGAAACCATTTTTCTATTTTTAGTAACGGTGACCTTGACCTTGACCCCAGGGGGTCCAAATGCAATACCAACCGGAGTTTCCACATAAGGTTGCTATATACCAAGTTTGATTACAATACCTCATTCCAAACTCTAGTTATCGTCCGGAAACCATGATGTGGACCGACCGACCGACCCACCGACAAGCTGACTCCTATATACCCCCCCTAAACTTCGTTTGTGGGCGTATAATAATGCTAAACATATGGGTTTTTTGCTATGATACTCTTGTCTTAGCTTAAACAAAGAAATATCTATTACTTATTTTGTTATTCCACTATTGTAATGTATTCATGAGAGTAATGCTTTAGTGCATTCATATCATATCTTAAGAAATCTATCTTTGTAATTATGCAGTAAGACATATAAAATGAGAGGCGGTACATTAAAATAGTTTTTTAATGTAAGGTTGTAACTGGTACTTATTTGTTCTATCAATTATTTCCCCAAATTTTGTGTTTCTGTCAAATTGTAACTTCTTTAGTGCAGTCCATGTAACTGATTAACATAATAAACCAGGAATATGATAATTTGCTTCTGGTTATTTAATGAATTAGTGTTCAAATCGTACCCCACCCACTATGAATAAAAATCTAAAGAAACTGACCCCTCGATTATACCGATTATATGGAATGACAATATTTACGTAAGTTAATAAACATATGGTGATTTTCAAAGTGTGATACTATTACAGGTATCCTGTCAGATCTAAAAATCTGTTCAAAAATGTGTTACCAATTTAACAAGCAATTATCATAGTATTGCAAGCAATCCATAAGTCCCCTACCGGTAAGAGCCCAAGCAACATTCTGAAGGGCCATTGGCCATTTACTTATGTTCCTATTTAAATAAATTTGTTGAAAAAGTTCTTTAGAAGTGATCACAGGAAACAGTTTTTATGTACAGACAGACAGACGGACTGAAGTTATTTTTTAAACATCCCTGTTATCAAAATATAACATTTTTAAAATCCTATCATGATTGAAGACGTTGGAGTAAAAATAACCAATTTCTCAAAAAAAGTCTAAGTTCAAAAGGGGCATACTTCTGGATATAATCTTGCTAGAGTATTGAACACTCACAAATGTTGAGTGATAATAAGAAACATTTATATGAAGTTTGAAGTAGATACATTCAGAAAAAGAAGTTATTAAAAAAAAAACAATGTTTTTTTCATAAAAATTTTATGTTCAAGGGAGGTAATTCTGATAAATTTTGTGCTAGAGTTGTAAACCTTGTCACATATGATGTGGTTGATGACAAGCAACTTATATTTAAAGTTTGAAGAAAATACCTTAAGAAATAAAGTACTTATAGTGAAAAAACTTAAAAACTAGAATCAGAAATCTTGAAATTCAGTCTATTTGTTGCCATAGCAACCAGAATTTTCAACATAGGAAGATAAGAAAAGGATGTTCATAATTTCCATACTGCCATCTACCCATATGTCAAGTTTCATAAAAATATTTTCAGTACTTTTTGCATTATCACTGGATCCAGGTTATGTGTAAAATTTGTCATATTTTCAGTCTATTTGTTGCCAAAGCAACCAGAATTTTCAACATAGGAAGAAAAGAAAAAGACGTGCATAATCTCCATACTGCCATCAATCCATATATCAAGTTTCATAAAAATATTTTCAGTAATTTTAGCGTTATCACGGGATCCAGGTTATGCGTAAAATTTGTCATATTTTCAGTCTATTTGTTGACATAGCAACCAGAATTTTCAACATAGGAAGAAAAGAAAAAGACGTGCATAATCTCCATACTGCCATCTTTCCATATATCAAGTTTCACTAAAATATTTTCAGTACTTTTTGCGTTATCGCGGGATCCAGTTTTGTGGACGGACGGACTGACGGACGGACAGACGGACGGACGGACGGACAGAGGGTAAACCTAAAGTCCCCTCCGGTAAACCGGTAGGGGACTAGTAAGCATGATTTTGTTGTAAGTTTACCTAAGGATTTGAAAAGTACAATGTATGCAAAACAACCTCTGCTCCTTTATTTATATGTTACACACTTGCCCCTCACCTCTGTGGGTTCGAATCCCGACAGGGACTTTGGATTCTTTCATGTGAGGAAGCTATCCAGCTAGCTTACGGAACGTCGGTGGTTCTACTCAGGTACCCGTTCGTGCCTGAAATAATGCACGGAAGGGCACCTGAGGTCTTCCTCCACCAGTAAAGCTGGAACGTCGCGATATGACCTATACTGTGTCGATGTGACGTAAAACCCAAAAACAAATAAACACATTTTTTATGTCAAATGAAATGTAATTTATTTTTTGAAGTTTCTTAAATTGACAAAATAGTCATTTAGAAAGTCTGATATTTTATCTACATAGATCATTACTCTGTTGACCTTCAGTTTCATGAAACATGCATAGTAGTCGGATAAAACTTAATGTTTCTATAAAATCGTTCAGCTTGGCATTATATTTGTGTTTGTGTTATTTGAATTCCTTCTCTTTGACCTTTTTTCGAGTTATGTGGTTCTTATTTTTTTTTAAATAGTGTATAATAACCCTTTGGATAAAAAGTGTATGATAACCCTTTGGATATGTTACTTGCTTTTAAAATTTATATTTTGACCTTTGATCCCGTTTTATAAATTCATTTTATTTAGTTTAGCCCACTGTTCTCTATTTCTT